AGAAAAAAAAGAGCTCCTCCCTTTGAGGAAAAAAAAAGAAAAAAGAAAAATATAATGAGAGAAACGATACGGCGGGAGAGGAGAAAAAATTTCATCCCCCTCCCCTCTACCCCTACACAGCCCCCCCGCCGTTTCTAAAATGTTTAGAATTCGAATTCGAAACTGCCATTTTTCTATATATATATATTTTATTGTATTTTTTTTTTTTTTTTTTCATTTGTGTTCCGAAGATCCCCGATCGAGATCGGAATTGAAATCGGGAATCGGGAAAAGGGGGAAAAAAAAAATAAAGAAGCAGAATGGTGAGAGAGAGAGAGAGAGAAACACAAAAAAAAAGCCCGGGAAATCTCTGGAATGTTGATTTGAAAATTGAAAATCAGAGAAAGGAGGACGTTTCCATGATGTAGACGGTGGAATATAAATCACGTGACCATGTTCAGCGCATGATCGAAAGGAAAATACAAAATTTTAACCGATTCTTCCGTACGAAAACATTGTTTTTATTGATTTTCCGTGTGTGCGGGGGGGGGGGAAATAAGGGAGAGACTAAAAAGTAAAAGAGAGATAGAGCGAGGAAAGAAAAAGAAAAACCCCGGAGTAAAGCGAGGAGTTAAACGAGGGGGGGCGGGGAGGAAAAAGCAAGCGAGCGAACGAGCGAGCGAGCGAGAGAGAGAAAGAGAGAGAGAGAGAGGTAGAAAAAAAATTTTCCCTCTCACGAACCGAAAAGAACCCGATGAAAAGAGAAAAAAAATAGGAATAAAAAGAGATGGAAGAAAGTTAAATACAAAAAAAAAAAAAAAAAAAAAAAGAGGAAAAGCTTTTTCGGGAAAAGCGGCGAGGGAAGGGAGGGGAGACGGGGAAAGAGAAGGGGAGGGGAAGGAAAACGAAAGGCGAAGGGAAAATTTTTCACAAAAAAAAAAAAAAACTGAGTCAACCCGTGGGGAAAAGAAATGAGGAATTTTTGATTTACATTTCCTAGCACGCGAGTAAAATATTTTAGCTCTTGCATTCTTTATATTCATTTTTTTCCCTCCCTTTTTCCTCCCCCTTTTTCTCTCTCTCTCTTTCTCTCTTTAGTTTTTCTCTTTTTCACTCTTTAACCTCTCGCTTCTTTTTTCTTTTTTTTTTTGTTACTTTTTTTTATATATATTTTAAAACGATTTCATTACATCTCACCTTTTATCTTCATTTAAACTCTTATATTAAACTTTTCCTCTTTTCCTCTTTTTTTTTTTTTGCTCGTTAAACTTTTCGTTTGATGTTTGTATTATTATTAGTTTAAAAATATACGTTTTATAATTTCGTACAAACTTTTCGCGCGGTTTCAATACAAACAACATAACCTGATGAAAATCCCTTCGGTTACGAACAAAAATAAAAAACAAAACAAAACGAAAAATAACGACCATCCGACCGAAGTAATTTTTTTTTTTTTATAAATAATCCCCCCCCCCCCAACAATCGATTAATAGAAAACATTTTCCACGACGACAAACGCACGAATTTCCCGAGGTAGCAGGGGGAGGGAAAGGTGAGAGCGGTGGAGGGGGCGAAGAACGAAACAAAATTAATTTTAAATCAATTTATCCGACCTTGTTTTCCCATAAATAATAATAATAATAATAATAATAATAATAAAACCTTTTAACGCAAAATTTCCATCGACCTTTTTTTTTTTTTAAAACAAACAAACAAAGTTCGTATGTGTTTGTGTGTTTGTTTGTTCGTTTGTTAATAATTTTCGGTTGCATCATTTTTTACTCGTATGTGAGGCGCATTTTAATAACAAACAAGCTTTCACCGTTTTTTTTTTTTTTTTTTTTTTTTTTTTTTTTTTTAGGGGCGTATAAAAATAAATTGAACGAATAAAAAAAAAAAAAAAAAAAAAAAAAAATCCGACACATTTATTTTACGATCGAAACAACAACCACAACTATCATTATTATTATTATCATTATTATCATTATTATTATTATTATTAATTTTTTAATTGATCGAATCGATAAAAAAAAGTAAAACGTTTTAATTGCTACCGCCACGATTTGAGAAAAATAAAAAAAAAAAAATTTAAACATCGTGGAATTGAACCTAACAATTAAACAACCAGTTTCGCTAATAAATAATTTAAATAATAATAATAATGATGATGATGATGATGATGATAATGATAATAGAGCAGAAAAAAAATAAAACAAGGAGTAGAAGCAGTCGTGTCAAAAATAGTAAAACGAAAATATTTTAAATTTGAAAAAAATTTCAACGTTAAAAATATCAACGACGACAACGACAACGTCAACAACAACAAACACCCAAAAGGGAAAAAAAAAAAAATACAAATCGATGATGATAATAATAATAAAATGACCCGAGTTCAATGCCAGCAATGTAAATTTTTACCTGAAAACAGTTACACGTTTTTTTTTTTTTTTTTTTTTTTTTTTTTTTTTTTTTAAATTACTATTATGTGGGCAGAATACAAAAAAAAAACCCTCCTCCTCCCTCCTCAGCCCCCTCTCTATCTATTTATCTTTTTCCAGACTCATTATATTCATTTTGTCAATTTGTATCCCCCACATGGTAAAAAAAAAAAAAAAAAAAAAAAAAAAAGAATCGTTTTGGTATTCAATACACAATTCGTACCATTTTTTTTTTTTTTTTTCGTCATTTTTATTACGAGTTGAAGGTTACCTATTATTATTATTATTATTACCATTTTTTTAAATGAAAACCTACGACTTTGAATAATGAGTTATAAAAACAAACGTGGCTAATGGATAATCAAGGATGAAACAAACAAAAAAAAATGGCGGATTTATCGTCGAGAAGAAGAGCGTATAACCGATAAACATAAAACATAAAACTATCCGACAAACAAACGATCACGACACCACGCCCAAAAGTTATGCACTCGCTTTTCTTTCCCTTATGAAAAACGCACAACAGACGAAACCTTGTCGTGGGTGCGTGTGTGTGTGTGCGTGCGTGCGAGAGAGACAACAAACGCATCGTAAAATATAATTTAAGAGAGAGAGAGAGAGAGACGGAAGAAATGGGAACGAAAATTTGCACAAACGTTATTAAAACGAAATCGATTGAGGTCGTCGTCGTTGTCGTCGTTGTCGAATGAATGAGAGAGACGTGTCGCAAAAAGGATTTATTTTTTCCTTAAGAGAAATCGCACATCGTGTGACATTTCCCACCTTCCCTCCCCCTCCCTCCCCTTCACCCCCCAAAAAAACTCAAAATCTACAAGTCGCAAAGCGAGATTAAAAAAAAAAAAATCGTAATGGTAAAACCTGATTAAAACTCCGAATGTTGACAGAAAAACTTGTCGCGCATAAAAGTGACGATGTTAATAATAATAATAATAATAATAATAATAATAATAATAATAATAATAATAATAATAATAATGCAGTTCTATATGATCAACAAATCCACACTGATAGAACTGTGCCAGCTAACAAACCGGATATCATACTCAGGCATAATGCGGAAAAATGGTGTAAATTAATTGAGGTATCCGTGCCGGCAGAAAAAAACACCACAGCCAAAGAAGCAGACAAAAGGCTGAAATATAGAAATTTGGAAATCGAAATAACCAGGATGTGGGGAACAAAAACAGAAACGATTCCGGTCATCGTGGGAGCATTGGGAGCCATGCCACATTCAATGAAAGGAAACTTAAAGAAGATTATGAAGAACCTAAAAGAAGAAACCATCCAGGAAATCGCACTATGTGGGACGGCCCACATCCTTCGGAAAATATTATAAGTAGCACCACCGAAATTCGAGTATTTGTCCCTAAGGAATCGGGTAGAAACCTGGGATAAATATTTAAAAACCCCGACAAATAAGAGCCTTGTCGTGTTTAATAGTGGAAATAATAATAATAATAATAATAATAATGGTAATAAATCCGTTTATGTTTTTTTTTTTTATTTACCTCTTTTAATCGTTTATACAAGCGAATAAATTAACGTTAATAATTTTTTATTAAAAAAAAAAATTTATACGTTGAACGACTGCTGCTACCATCGAAATGTAATCTACTAAGCTTGTTCTAATAAATCCCGTTAGGTTAAAATTTTTATGTATTTTACAATTGCTCAATGGTGTCGTTATGAGTTTTGTCGTTAAATAAAAAAAAAAAAAAAAAAAAAAGTGAAAGTCGTCATTATGTTCCCGCAAAAACGTGCCGTCGTTAATTCTCATCGTTTTCTCTCTCTCTATCTCTCTCTTGTCCCCCCTTTTTCCCTTTTTTTTCTTTTTTTTTTTTATCGATTTGCATCGGGGGAAAACAAAAAAAAAGTATCTGTCGGTTTCATCTTTAATTCTTTTGAGAGGAAAAACGAAAAAAAAACTCCGATTCGTTTTAATTTTTTTTTTTCTTCTTTTCTCACGATTCTAGAAAAAATTAAAGACAAGAATCTACTGCCACTTCGAATCCGGCAATCGATCGTTTAATTCAACAAAAAAAAAAAAAAAAGAAAAAATTAAACGGAAAACACAACATTTCCGCCGCCGCACAAGTTCCGAATGATTAATTAATAAACAAAACGTTTTCGTTATTATGTAATAAAAATCTAAAAAAAAAAAAAAAAAAAAGAGCGAAACAAACGAACAAACGAACGAACGAACAAACAAACAAACGGTAATTTAAAATCATTAACTAATTTTTTTTTTTTTTCAAGTCGCAACAACAAAAAAAAAAAAATTAAATTAAATCGATTGCGTGACAATTATCGAAACGAACTCGATTTATTTATTATTATAATTATTATTATTATTATTCATTGTCAAATTCACGACGACGTCGTCGTCGTCGTCGTCGTCGTGACGTAACTCGTTTCCGTTTCTACCATTAACGCCAATAATTACAATTGCTTAACTTAAACAATCCAAAAGCTTGGAAAAAAAAAATTTGTCGACATTTCCAATAATTTCCCCCCCCCTCCTCCCCCCGGCCCGTCACTTGCCTTAGGACAAGTTCCACAACTTTATAAATTGTCACGAAATTCGTGACGAAGTTTAAAAATGGCAAACGATTCTCAAAAAAAAAAAAAAAAAAAATGGAAGAATCGAAATAATTTCCTTACGAAAAAAAAAAAAAAAAAAAAAAATGTGATAATGACGTGTAGTAGTAGATTTGGCCTAGAAATTCTTTTTTTATAATTACGATTGCGATTAAGTTGCGTAAGACCATTAAAAAAAAAAAAAACTCGAAGAAGATTCTGACACAAACCGACCAACCCAAATAATAATAATAATGTCAAATGCATTATCTCTTGGTTATTATCACGGCCATTGTTTTCCTTACTTACGTAACGTTTTTAACACGCGAACAAAAAAAAAAGTTTTTTTCCCCCCTTTTTTTAAATTAATTTTCCACGCCGAAAACACAAAAAAAAAAAACAAAAAAAAACTTTCTAATTCGATATATCGATTCATCGATCGATATCAACGATTTTGGGGGTGGTAGGGGAAGAATGAAAAAGAACGACGAAAAAGTAAAAAAAAAAAAAAAAACAATCGAACGGATACATATAAATGCAAACAATTTAAAATGAAACAAAAAAAATGGCGCGTCTACCATTGAATAAAAAAAAAAAAAAAAAAAAAACCTTTGACGATTTTTTGAAAAATTTTCGCAAAGGAAACCTTTTGAAAAAAAAATTTTCTTTTTCTGCGAATAATAGTTAATAAAAAAAGAGTGTTGTGTGCGAATATCCTTTTTTTCTCCGCCATTTTTTTTTAATAAAATTGAAAATTTCGTTTAAAATTTTTCCCTTTTCCATTTTCCTTTCTATCATTGTCGGTAAATCAAAAATTTACTTTTCGTGCAAATAATAATAATAATAATAATAATAATTTAAAAGTATTTCGGTTTTTTATTCGTTTGTTGGAAAAATTTTTTTTCGAATTCGTTTGTTCAACAACAACCGAAAAAGTTTTCACCGACGAGAAACAAAAAAAAAAAAAAAAAATGTAATCCGATACGTTCATAAATAAGAGGACGACCGGCGTCTTAAATTTATTACGTCATCACCGCCTTATTATTATTATCATTTTTTTCGAAATCTTCTTTTAATCTTATTAATCCGATCGATTCGGCTATCAATGCCCGTCTTTTCCTTTTCTTTACCCCTCCACCCCCCCCCGTATTAATCGTATTGATTTACCTTTGTCGATTCGTTATAGCCTACGATGACTGCCGTGTACCATTGCGTTGTTCCCTCTGCTCTGTACACTTCAACTCTATAACCGACGAGTACGCTCGGAGTCGTCAACAATATACGTTGACCGTCTTGATATTCCAACCATCTTCTTATGGCAGCCACAACTTCCGTATGGTCTTTTGAACCCGGAAATTTCTGATTGAAATCCTTGAAACAAAAACAAAATCAATAATTATTTTTATTTCAAATTCTTTAGACCACGGGAAAACCTCTCCTTTTTAAAGACAAATTCAAAACTACCAAGACTTAAAAAAAAAAAAAAAAACCGCCAAAACTACCGCCAGAAATCGTGATCGTGATCGTGAATTGTAAATTCAAATTTATGGACAGGAAGTAAACGTGGAAAACATTTAATTGTTAAAATTATGCTGGTTCTTAAATAATAAAAAAAACAGACAACGGATCATAATAGCTCAAGCTTGAAACGATGATGATGGCACCGGAGGTCAAACAACAAATTCGCACAAAAAATAATAATAATAATAAAGGAAGGCTAATTAGCAATTAGTAACCGACATGTGGGCAAACCGACGGTGAGGTTTGCGGCTATTTTCTTTCAGACGCGAAAAAATTTTTTCCCATGCGATTCGCATTCGCCCCCAAAACTAACAATAATAATAATAATAATAATGGTAATAATAATAATGATTAAAAAAAAACTCACCAAAAACGGTTCGATCCGCGTGTAATCTCGAAATGCCAATTCGCGGTCAACCAAAAACTCAACCGGTTGAAGTTGGGTTTTCATGTTGACCAAATCCACCAAAGCTACGAAATTCTAAAAGAAAAAAACAAATCGACGATGATGAAAATTAAAGAAAAAAAGAGGAAAATCTTAAACGGGGGGGGGAGGGGGTGAAGGGGGCCAGAGGGGTCTTAAAAAAACAAAAATCCCCTTACCAGTGCCGGCCAAAATGCGGTCGAATCCGACGATGAATATGGATCGACCCGATCCGACCAAACGAGGTCATCTTCGACCATAAACAAATGGAAAACGGAATCTTTGTAAATGCTAATCCATTCTCTCCTGTGCCATTCGACGTCATCGTATTCGACTAGAACCTAAAATCAAAACGTTACAAATTATTAATAATACTAATAATAATAATAATAATTTTCGAATGTGCTTGTGTGTGTGTGTGTGTGCGTTAGTGCGTGTCTGCCTGCGTGCGTGCGTGAGTTATAGAAAAACCTAGATCTTCTTCGATAAAGTTTGGAAAAAAATGACTGAAAAATATGGGCCAAAAAAAAAAAAAAAAAGGTAAAACGTCATGAATATTTAATTTTACGTTAGAAAATTCCTTCTGGCATAAATAATAATAATAATAATAATAATAATAATAATAATAATAATAAGAAAAAAAAGTTTTTTTTTTTTTTCTTATTTCCTTATTTAAAAACTCATTCGTTAACACAATTATTATTATTTTTTTTTTTTAAATAAAAATTTCAATTTTATTCTCTTTCTTTCTCTTTCTCTCTCTCTCTCTCTCTCTCTTTCTCTCTTTACATTTTCTAATAAAAAAAAAAAAAAAGAAAAAAAATTTCCTTTCGAAAACAATCAACTTTTGAAATAAAAAAAAAAAGAGAGAAATAGTGAGAGAGAAAGAGAGAGAATTTAACAATAAATTTAAATTAATGAATTAACCTTGTCTGGAATTTTTTTCACAATCGTCAGCAAATAAAAAAAAAAAAAAAATTAAAAATTCCTTCCAGTTCCTTCCAGTTTTTTCTCCTTCTGGAGCGAAGCACAACATGTCACAAATCGCGAATTTCATTTCATTTTTATTTATGCTAACAAAAAAAAAGTTAATTCCATCCACACGAGCAGGTGAATTTGTTTTCCCCTCACACCCTCCCCACACACACACACACACATACAAATAAATCTCCCCTTTTAAGGCATCCCCTTAAAATTCCAAAAACCCGACAAATTTTTTTTTTTTTTTTTCCCGAAAAATCATACAAACAAAAATGCCCCAACGAAAGAAAGGGATAGGGATAGAAAACAATCCGTTAATCGATACGTCAATAATTTAAAAAAAAAAAAAAATCGATTATCGTATAGGGTTAAATAATAATAATAATAATAAATAATAAAAACAATTTCAATAATTAGATACAAAAAAAAAAAAAAAAAAAATGATATTCCGCTTCTTGATGTCACTGACCTTTGATTAAAAACAAAATTACCAAAGATTTATTTTTTTTAATGGATTTTGTGTCAAACTTGTTTTTATTTTTTTATTTTTATTCATTAAAAAAAAAAAAAAAAAAAAAATGTTTAAAAATTCTCTTACACGTGAAATAAATCAATGAGAGAGTTTTTTTTTTTAAAATCCGGATTGGGGAGGTAAAGGGGAGCGGGAGGAAAAGAGGGATTAAGGCCCTCGGCGAACTTGTTTCTTTGACACTTAAGATCAATAAAGGTTAAAACGTTTCGAGTTAATAATAAAATAATAATACTAATAATAATAATGATAAAAATTTTCGGTTTAAACGTTTTACGGAGAGAAAAAAAAAAAAAAAAATTGTCGTTAATTAAATGGCGACTCCATCATCGTTATCGTGTTATCATCACAGAATTTTCCGATGGAAAAATTTCCAGTCATTCACAACACCTCTGGAACTCGTAAATTATTTCGTTTCCCACAAAATCTTGAGCCTTAATTAATGAAAGGGGAAGGGAGCAGATGCGGGGGGTGATAAAACATGTGCAAAATGCCAACAGTAATTTTTTTGTTTGTTTCTTGTTTTTTTTTTCGATAATTCGTCGTGCTGCGTGTTTGCGTGTTGCCCGTTTGTCTGTTTGTTTAATTTGTACCGTTTCCATCTTTTTTTTTTTTTTTACACGTTAAAATAATTGATGAATAATATCGGGAGCAAATTATTTTTAAAAAAACGCCAAATTCCTCATCGTTACTTTCCCCTCACCTTACCCCTAACCCCCTGCCCCCTCTCCCGCTCACGATGCTCCCCTTTCGTTTTCTACATTTGTTTTTAATGTGGAACAACAGCTGGCGATAATTGCTTTTTAAAAATAAAAAAATTAAATAATTTTTTTTTTTTTTTTTACTCATTCGGCGTAATTCACGTTTTTTAATTCGCATCGGTGAAACACACAACGAAAAATTATAATGCTTAATGATAATGATGATAATGATAATGATAATAATTGTTTTTTCATTCTAGAAGAAAAACAACAACAACAACAACATTATGCAATTTACGAAAGTAAATTTTTGCTTTTTGATTATTATTATTATTATTATTAAAAAGTGGTTTAAATTTTTTCCTTACCGTGATTTTAACCAAACAACAAAACCGGTCACGTTATGGTACCTAATTATTATTATTATTAACGCATAGTTTTTTTTTTTAAATTTTGGCCAAGTCGCTCGTTTTCTTTCTTTCCTTTTTTTTTTTTTTTTAATGCAAATTCGAATTTTTCGTCGATTGAAAACAAACAAAGATTGTATAAAAACTTTTTCGATTTAATAAAAAAAAAAAAAAAAAATTAATGACAAAACATGTTTGTTTTGTGTCGCGTTTGTTTATTTGTTTGTTTGTTTGTTTGTTTATTCGTTTCGTGTTTATTTTTGTTTCTTGTTTTATATTAATTTAAAGAAAAAAAATAAGGAAAAATGACAGAGATTTATGTGTGTCAATGTTGTGATGTTTGAATTAAAATTTTTATTATTTATATAACGATTTCGGATAATCTATTATTATTATTATTATTAACAATTTATCATAGACGCGTTTGTACGTCTCGTTTGTTTGTTTGTTTCATCCCAATTATTTTCTACGTTATCATCCACTTGCCATGAATTATTAATTGGAAAAAGTTAACCAGGAGTAGTGGTAGCAGTACCGTTGAATTTTAAATAATAAAACAAATATGTAAATTTATTTATATTAAAAAAAAAAAAAAACCGTGAATAATAATAATAATATTAATAATAAACAAAAATATAAAATTATTATTATTATTATTAATATTAATATTAATAATTTCGAAACCGGGGGGGGGGGGAATTTTATTTATTTATTTTTTTTTTTTATTTTTTTCCAGTCACGTATACATCATATTGTTGACTTTAACAGCAGTTCGTAATTTTCACGCATGGAGCAGCACTTTACCATCACAATATTATTATTTTTTAAAAACAATAATGGCCGACCATAAGCTCCGCCTACTTTTATTTTCACGCATGTTGAGCAACAAACTCGTAACTTTCTCAAACTTGCGTTCAAAATTTTTTAAAATTAATATTCATCAAGAAATCAAATTCGAAATTTTTTTCTAAATATAAAAAAAAAATGAACGAACGGCATCGAACGGTAAAATAAACAAAATCGTCTAAAAAAAAAAAAAAAGTTAAACAGTTGTGAAAACGAAACCCCGTACATATTTTACGTTTTCGATATGATCTCGTCCGTAACCATGACGACGGAAATTTCAAAATCGTCGGCCATCATTAAAATTTAAAACTTATTTTTTTAACCGGTAGATGGTGCGCGAAGACGGTAAAACGCGGACGAATTGACATTTTATCAATATTATCAAATTATTCGACTCCCTTTTAAAAAACAAAAACAAAAAAGTTTGAAAACAAAAAAAGAAAATTTTTTTAAAAATGTGTTTACTACAACGTTGAAAACGAGTTAGACGTAGCAAATTGTAGACGCGGTTGTTTGTTACTCTTTTTAGTAAACAAAAATATAAAAATTTTATTTTTTATAAAAAATAATAATAATAAAAAGAGAAAATTTAGTAACAACAACAACAACAACAAAAAATCCATTTAAAAATTATTATTATTTTTTTTTTAATGAGGCCCTTCAAACGATCGATTATAATAAGTAAATTCGCAATTCTATTTAGTTTTCTTTTTAGTAACTTTTAGGCAAACCATGTGAACGATTCAAAAAAAATTATTTTTATGATAAAAGCGTAAATAAAGGAAATCGTGGAAATGAAAACAAATTAAAAATTGTGACGATATATCCAAAATCAACCAAACTTCAGAGCTTGAAATTGATTAAACTTGACAAAATTAAAGGAGGAGAAGAAGATGAAGAAGAAAAAGTAAAAGAATCAAATGCAAAACGTGTAAAACGTACAAACGTACAAACGTACAAACGTACAAACACGCACGCACGCACGCAACGCATTTACGCAAAATCGATGTCTTTTTTTTTTTTTTTTTATCTTTCCTGTCGTTTCGTGCCCATTACCATAATTCCCATCCTTTTGAAATGGATTTTTTTTTTTCCTTTTTTTCCTTTTTTCCTTTTTTTTTTTTTTTCGACAGCAGTGTCCTAGTTTTTTTACGTTCAGCCACGCCTTTTCTCCGCAAAGATTTCATTATCCCTTTAATCTTATATACACGGGGCTCAATTTTTCCTTTTTTTTCCTTTTTTACTTATTGACTTTTTTGCCCCTTCTTTTTATTATTATTCGTAAATAAAACATTTGATTTATATATAAACTTTTTCTGCTGTTGTTTTCGTTACTTTCAAAAGCTTTTTTTTTTTTTTTGAGAAAAGTTAAAAAAAAATTCATAAATGTTTTAACCATCTTGTCGTTTGTTTTGTCGTACAAACGCGTACTAAAAAAAAAAAAAAACTTTTTTTTTTTTTTTTTGGCGCAAAATTTAAATTTTTTTCTTATTTTATTATTTATCAAAGTTTTGAAAAAAAAAAAAAAAATCAACAGACAACAGATTTTTTGGGTTTGTTTTTTGTTGCTGTCGTTGATGTTTTGTTCATTTAAAATTTTCCCGAATGATTTTTTTTTTTTTTTTTTTTAAAGTTATTAACGTAAACTTCAAATCGTTTTTTTTTTTTTTTAATAAATTACGAATAACTTTAAGAATTTTTTTTTTTTTTTTTTTTTTGGCAATTTTCCTTCTCGATTTTTTACTGTTTTGAAGAAAAAAAAATCTCGTTCTCGAATTGTGTGAAATGATAACGACAGAAAACGATTCATCGACACACCTGTCGCACTTCCCCCTGCCCCCCCTCCCCACGAAAAAAAATTATTATTAAAAAAACGTTCGGGGATTTACGCAATCGAAACGAAACGAAACAAAAAGAAAGAAAATTTTCAATCTTGCCAACTTTAAAAAAAAAAAAAAAAAATGTTAAATCTAAACACTTGAACTTTAACTTTGTTTTCCCCTAAAAAACGTTTGCGTTGCCTTCGTTAATACATTACAAACCGAACGGAATAAATCTTTGTAATCCTGTCGCGTCATTACCGCAAAAAACCTTCAAATTTTATTACTTACACCTTTCGTATTTACCGCCGCAAAAAAAGCGCAAAACTCATACTACTACTCTTGACTAACTTTTTTCATCATCATCATCATTATTATTTTTACGAGTGCGTTCGTTAATAAATACATAAACAAATAAATAAATAAATTTTAATGGTTTTTATTTAATATTTCGTAATAATTTTTTCCGTTTTACGCTAATGAGTTTTTTTTTTTTTTCTTTCTTAGATTACGTTATTATACTCCCGTAATAATTATTCCGTTCGTTATTATTATTATTATTATTATTATTATTATTTTCTTCTTTTTCTTTTTCATTTAATTTTAGTTTTTAATGATCGAAAAAAAAAAGAAAAAAAATTATTACTCTCTCATTTAATTAAACAAAAACAAAAACAAAAAAAATTTTTTTAATATTCGTGCCAATAAGATATTTAAGAAAGAGAAAGTCTTTCTTTTTGTTTTATGAAAAGATGAAGAAAAAGAAGAGGTAAAAAAAGAAAAAAAATTACAAAAATAAAAAAAGATAGAAAGAGAGAAAAAGAGAAAGAGAAAGACAACAACAACAAAATAAAAAAAGAATTTGTGGCTCATCCCGGCTTTTTATTATCATTATTATTATCATTATTATCATTACTCGAACTAAAAATTTTTTTTTTTTTTTTTATTTTGCCAAAAATCGATTTTTCTCGTAAACGTGACCACGTGGTTTTAGACGAAATTAATGTTTTTTTTTTTTTTTTTTTTTTTTTTTTATTCAACTTCCATTAGAGTTAATACGTTTTTTTTAAAGGAAAAATTATTTGTAATGATTATTCGATATTTTTTGTTTTATGCAGGTCGATACGTGAAAAAAATAAAGTGAATTGATGGAAGTGATATAAAAAATTTCGTCGTGTCACGAGATAAAAAATAAATCATTAATTGTTTTTTTTTTTTTTTTTTGGCTGATCGCAATCGTTTAAAAATCTTAATTAAAAATAAATAAATAAATACGTAACAACTTTGATAATTTTTTTATCTCTTATCGACCGAATTTTATTTCATCTCTCTCTCTCTCTCTCTCTTACATCATCATTTTTCGATAAATGAAAATCGATCGATTCGTTATTTAATAATAATAATTATCTTCTTACACGTTTTTGAAAATTAATAATTAACTATCGCGACATTTTTTCCCTCAAAACGATTTCTAGTTTGAGAGTAAAAAAAAAAACATTCGAAACAAGAATTTTACAACTGGATAAACTAACTGTAAACAAACAAAGTCAGTTGTTTGTTTTGTCTCTCTCTCTCTCTCTCTCTCTCTCTCTCGTCGCGAGATGTTTGTCTCTCTCTCTCTCTTTACAGCCCACGTAAAAAACTTCCTTGCAACTCGCGAGTATCCGGATTTGTTCACATACGCGTATGTGTAAAAAAAAAAATAATGACAAGGTCGTCACGTTTCGTTTTATTATTACATTTTTTTTTTTTTTTACACCAAATGATCCATGGGTACATATTTGAACCATTAAAAATCCATAACATTATTCATCATGATGATAATGATAATAATGATAATAATAATAATAATACAACGGTATTTGAAATCATTTAAATAATTGTTTATACATTTACATTCACAAAAACATAAATATATGTATAACTGAATGAAAAGTGATGGGAATTTTTTTTAAAAATTTTAATCCTTCGAACAATCAATCAATCAATCAATCAATCATTCACATTCGTCTTGCGTGCGTGCGTGCGTGTGCGTGTGCACGTTCAAAAAATATTTTTTTCTAAACCGCAAAACGCACGTTAACCCAAGTTTCAGGTAGATGGAAAGTTTCGTTATTGATTTATTTTTTTTATAAAGGATAACCTAGAAGAACCTTAAATAAAGAAGGAAAAAAATAGTGAAAGAGAGAAAGAAAGAGAGAAAAAGAGAGAGAGAAGAGAGAGAGAGAGAGAACAAAAGAGATGGAAAAAAAAATGGGAAAACCAAAAATCCCGGGATTATTAAAAAAGAAATAGATAAAAAAAAAAAAATTTTTTTAAATGTTGCCAACTTTAAAGAAGAAAAAAAAAAAAAAAAAAAAAAAACTTTCTTTTATTAAATAATAATAATGATGATGATGATGATGATGATGATGATGGAAGAATGACTTGAAGTTGTTCGAAAGCCTAATAATTATGTTAAATTTTTTTTTTTTTACGATCGAACCAACCATGTAATTTTATAAAACTAATTTAAAAAAAAAAAAAAACCATTTTTGATTTTTGATTTTTTTTTTTTTTTTTTATTTAGTACTAGTTTTCTTACGAAGAGAATATTTAAAACGTTTGATGAGTAGTGCGTGTGTGCGTGCGTGCATGCGTGCGTGGGTACTACTACTACTAGGCACCACTCGTATATTTTTATTATCATTCACACAGGTGTAGTAAAATAAAAATAAAAATAAAACTACCTAAAATTACTTTCAATCCAATATTCGAAAAAAAACAACAACAAAATTAAAGGGTTAAAATCGTTACGCCGAAGAAGGGGGGGATAGGGAAAGAAGAGAAGGGGGAAGGGGAAATCAAAGGAAATTAGTTTTCGTCTGGAACATCAATAACAAAACAAAAAAAAAAAAAATTATAATAATTTTGTTGAGACGTGTGCGTAACAACAGTAAAATAACAAATATCATAAAAAACGATCATTATTTTTTTTTTTCGTTGACCTCTGCTTTCCCTCCATTTTGTCCATCATCATCATCATCATCATCAACATAACGAATTCTTACATGTAAATTATTTAAATTTTGTCGAAAATTTGGAAAAACAATGCTGGAAAATGATTTTTTCAAACGGACAAAAATTACAACTCACATTAATTGTTTTTTATTTTAGGAGTAATAACAAAACAAAACGAAACGAAATAGAACAGTCACGTGACTGGATTTTATATTACTTTCTCTTTTATTCTACGGTATTAGCCCATTTAAAATAAAAAAAACAATTCGAGCTTTTTTTGTTTTTTCAAAAAAAAACTTTCTGGAGTTTCAGGTATTTTCGTTTCTATACATATGAATAACGCAATGAAATTAATAATGATAATAATAATAATAATAATAATAATAATAAACGTGTAATTAACCTTTAAATATTTTTTTTTCCATTACCAAAAAAAACACAACGCGTTCGAATTACTCACAGATGTTTAATCGATAAGAGATATAATAATAATAATAATAATAATAATAACATTTTCCAGCGAAATTTTCACCGAAACAATTTATTCACCCCGAATGAATGAATGAATAAAATTTCAACGTGAACAATAATTCACTTGCAATCAATAATTTCGATCGAATTTGAAAAAAAAAAAAAAAAATTCCAAAATTTCAAAAATTTTTCCATGAACTTTACAATCGGTCAATCCGTTCGCAGAAGTAACAAATTCCCTTATCCCCTCTCCCCCCGCCTCAAAAAAAAAAAAAAAACAAACCTGGACCTAACCTTAAATTTTTAAGTTGAACATAATGAATATGATGATTCAGACGATTGATGATCATCACGTTTAAAAAACACACAAGAAAAAAAAAAATTCTGAGAAATAATTTTCTCCATTTTGTTTAAGTGGAAAACATTCTTTTGTTTAAATATTTTCATTACGACAATACGTGTGTGTGTGTGTGTTTTACACCGAAAAACGAAAAAAAAAAAAAAAAAAAAAAAAAAAAAGGGAAACGTGATGCTTCAAAGAAATAATTAATGTTAATTAAGAGAATACGTAAAAGAAAAACGGAGGGAGGGGAGGAGGGGAGGGGGAAGGGAACCATCTTAAAACCAAATTTAAAAAAAAAATCTAGGAAGAAACTTTTTTCTGCTTTGTGACAAAACAAGTAATTAAAACAAAACCGTATGTCAAAACATTTACGACGAGATATCGATTTATACAACCCCGATCGAATCGAAACCTGAATTGATAATAATAATAATAATAATAATAATAATAATAATAATAATAATAATAATGATTATTCGCGTATAAACGTTTGAAACATAATTTTCGATAAAACTTTTCCCAATACAAAAAAAAAAAAAAAAAAAAAAAGTATCAAGTTGAACTCTCTATAAAAATTCCTTAAAAAAAAAAAGAAAAACTTTGCTTGAACTATCGGTAAACACCTGTTTACAATTATTATTATTATTACTATTATTATTATTATTATCATTTAAGTTATTCGTAGCTTTCACGTAAAAATTTATGTATAAAAAAAAAATATATATAAAAAAAAAAAAAAAACGATGAGTAAATAATTAAAATCATGAAATCGATTCGATATCGATTGATTTTTTCAAAAAGAAAAAAAAAAACTATTATTATTATTATTATTATTATTATTATCCACCATTAAACACGACAAGGCTACTTGTCGGAGTTTTTTTTTTAAGTATTTATCCGAGGTTTCTACCCGATTCCTTAGGGACAAATACTCGAATTTCGGTGGTGCCACTTATTATAAGATAGCACCACATCAATTCTTGAAGGTCTTCCTGAGTCCGTCTTTTTCGATGGGAACGATTTGTCTCCTGAACTGGGCTCCGGTGACTAACATCTTTGGAGTGGCCAGGGTCAGAAGCAGTGAAATTCACATTCTCGTCGAGCTGCCTCAGGTCGACAGTAGAACAAGATTTGTTTTTTGGTTCTTACTTTGTCTTGTTCTCATTTTTTTTTTTTTTTTTTGCTCTTTTAAGCCAACAGCACGTGGCGTTCTCAGACGGTCACCCATCCAAGTTTGCACCACGCCCGATGCTGCTTAACTTCGGTGATCGTACGGGAACCGGTGTGACCAGCACGCTATGGCCGTTGGCTTATTATTATTATTATTATTATTATTATTATTATTATTATTATTATTATTATTATTATTATTACTATTATTATTATTTTGTTTCATATTCTTTTATTATTTACCACTCTAATAGTTTCTTTTTTTTTTTTTTAGTATTGAGATCAATGCCATTGCGAAGGCGAACTGGTTAACTTTATTACGTGCGTGCGTGCGTTCGTTCGTTCGTTCGTTATACGTAAAGGGCACTAAGAAGAAAACTTTTTACGTATTTACGCGGGGAGATGATTGATAAGACGAGAACAAAAAAAAGAAAAAAAAATTCATTAAAAATGAACTCATCGTGTGAAGGATTAAACAATCGAAAGTGATTGTCGGGAAATGGAAAAAAAAAAAAAAAAAATTATTCAACTCGACTAATAATAATAATAATTTTATAAAATTAAAAATGTGTTTTTTTTTTTTTCACGCCATTCCTTTTCTTAAAAACGTTTGATAACGTGAAATCGAAAGGATTTCCGGAATCCTTGAAAATGAATCTTTCCGAAATAATAATAACAACAACAAAATCTCACCGCCTTCTTTTCGTTCGACAAAAATCGAAAATTCACATCGAGGTAATGTTCGATCGATCGATCGATCGATTTTTTTCAAATAAACTTTTGCAATCTCGTAAAAATCTCGTTAAAAAAAATTCATAAACGTAAACAAAATGGATATAATCGTCGATATATTGTGTGTTCGATACGTATCCGCCATTTTTAAAAATCTCGCGATATCTCGAAATTTAACGGACGAAATAAATAAATGACCTATTAATCGACATTAAACGCAAAAAAAAAATTTTATTTTCCTTGGCTTTAACTCGAATCTCGTAACCAAGACCGAAAAAATCTTTTATAGCAAAATATAGCAGAATATAGTTTGTGTCAGATTTCAAAACCTAGGACGACTAACCTAGTGCTATAATAATAATAATAATAATAATAAGATTTAATTAAAATCGAATTTCGTTACGATGACGATAAATAAATAAATAAATAAAAGAAAATTAAAATATTTAAAAACAAAATTGACACTTTTTTTTTTGTTAACTCCCTCGAGAGAGAGAGAGAGAGAGAGAGAAACTTTTATAATTAATACCAAAGTTAAAAGAAAAAGAGGAAAACATTTCATTCATGCCAACATGATGAAAAAAAATAAAACTTTTTTTTTTTTTTTTTTTTTTTAAACGTCACAATTCGATTTCTTTCTTCTTCTTCGAATTCGGAATTTTTTTTTTTTTTGTAACGTATCGTGACCTTCGGTGACCTCCATCTTGATCATCCGAATTATTTTAAATAACTCGACCGGGTCATTCGTTTCCCCCCCCCCCGTAACCTTTTCACATTTTCCATCATCTTTTGTTTCAATAACAATCGAATCCAAATAAATTTTCCTAGTTTCGTTACGCATTTTTTTTTTTTTTTTTGGAACAAAATCGCGTGTGTTACTTTTAAGAAAAAATAAAAATAAACAAACAAACGCACAAAGGACGGAAATAACAAAACAAAACAAAACGAAAAAAAAATAAGAAAAGGTTTATTAAATAAAAATTTTCTTTTGTGTGAAAAAAAAAAAAATCAGATTGTTTTTTTTTTTTTCTTTTCTTTTCTTTATTTTCCTCATTTTCTTTTGGACGACTAAAAAATACTTGAAAAGTACAAGAAAAATTTGATTGTTCGGGTAACGAAATTTATTATTACTTAAAAAAAAAAAAAACGATGATGATGATGATAATGAAAATAATACAAAAGAAAATAATAATAATAATAATAATAGAAATGAAAAATTACGAGAGGAAAATTAGAGAAAAATAAAAATAAAAAAATTTTCCTCATTTTTTCCCTTTTTTTTTTTTTCCTTTTTTCCTTTTTTTTAATGAATGGAAAGAAAAAAAAAATTCTCGAGATATATTTTAATAAAATTTACCTTTTCTTTTATACATAAATAATAATAATAATAATGATAATAATAATAATGAAGAAAGGCATTTTTATCAGAACAATCGATTCCTTTTGTAAAAAAAAAAAAAAAAAAAAAAAAAAAAGGAAGAGTAGAAAGGAAGAATAGAAAATGAAGAAGAAAAATAAAAAAATAAAAAAAAAACGAAGAAAGGAATAAAATTGGGGAAAGATTTATAATGTCACGAATGTCACGGATCAAAAACATCCCTCGAGTTTTGATACGTAATTGTCCTATAAAAAAAAAAAAAAAAGGAACGAACGTGCTACCGGAAAAGGTTAACGACAACAACAACAACAAAATTCTTTAAAACAAAAACAAAAAAAATTATCGTGCATAATCGATTATTTTCCTCCTTCGTTCGCGTCATGTGACAGTAAAAAAAAAAAAAAAAATTTGTCAACTTTGTCATCGTCGTCGTGACGTCACCCTCTGATATTTTCCTTTTCTCCTTTTTAAATGTCGATGATGGTGCGTCTGGTAAACAAAAATAATCAAAAAAAAAATTTTCTTAAACCTCTTCCAAAACTATTCCACCCTCCAGGAGATAGAGTGAGAAACGAAATTATGACGTCAATAAAACAATATGGCCGCGAGTATTTAAATACTTTAAAACTTTTTTTTTTCTTTCTGGAACCGTAATACGAGAATAATCTCGACGACAACAACAACAACAACAACAACATAATTCAAATAAGTATTTAAAAAAAACAAAAAAAAAATGTTTAACTCAAAAGTTTCCAAAGGTTAGAAAACCACCTTTGACGTTTTAATAGCAACAACAACCAGAAAAAATTATCGATTTGACCTTACTGGATCTGGAGAAAAAAAGAGAAAAGAAAAGAAATTTATGTCTGGAACGAGATCACAGTTAACACAAAAAGGGAGTAAGAAAAAGAAAAAAGAGAAAAAACTTTTCTTTTTCAATTTCTTTTCCTTTTTTTTTTTTCTCCTTAACTTTGGCAATAAAAACCAAAAAAACCAAAAAAAAAAAAAAAAAAAAAAAAAGAAAAACTTTTCGTCATTCGACACGAACTCGCAAATGCATTTTTTTTTTTTTTTTTTAAATAATATCTTTTTTAATTTTATTACCGTTGGCAAAACTGATAATTTTTTTTTTGTTTTTGTTACGATAAATTCAGTACAACCGAAATGATCGAGAATAGAAAACAAACACAGGTCACAACAATCTGAACGATTTCTTAACAGTATGTCAGACGAATTTAATTTATCGTGGAAAAAGAAACATGTACGTACGTGTATGTAGACATATCATTTACGAATACTATTGTAGTTATTATTTGTAATTGAAAATGGTCGTTTAAAATAAGAACAAAAAAAAAAAGAAAAAAAAAAGAAAAAAAAAATTCAATCAAACGATCGATAATTCAATACCAATCGTAATTGACGTAATTTTTTTTTTTTTTCCATTCGAACCTTCAATTTTTTCCTTTTTTTTTATTAGATTCGGGAAAGGGAATTAAAAAAAAAAAAAAAAAAATTAAATTGAAAATTTCGTCGTACAAAATCAAACGTAATTATTATTCTCATCGAATTTTTTTTTTTAAAATTGTCTTCGTTTGTCCCGTGTGTGAGTGTTTGTCTCCTTTTGTTTGTTTGTTAAGCCCTCCGATAACTTTAGAGTAACGAAAAAAACTCATCTTCCATTACAACTTTTCACTTTTATTTCCGTTATAAGAAAAAACTTAAAAAACTAAACTCGAACCACGTGTAAAACATAATTTTCAAGTTTTTCTTCTTTAGGTTTCATTATTATTATCATTATCATTATTTTTTGTTTTCGTTCAAATCAATGAATAATATCCTTGACACGAACATAAAACCATACGCAAACACAAACGTGTACAAAAAAAAAAAAAAAATTACCTGACCCGTCAAGATTTTTTTTTCTTCATTTTTTTTTTTTTTTTGATTTTTATGTAAAACATAAAAAAAAAAAAAAAAATTATTTTTTATTTTTTTTATCGTAAAACCGGATTTCGAAAAATATAAAAAAAAAAAAATCTTAAAAAAAATTAAAAAATTCTAATTTTAAATTCGATCGAAAGAATTTTTTTTTTTTTTTTTTTGGTAAATCTTTGCCAAATTTCATGTCAGTAAATATACATTTTTTTTGCTATTTTTTTTTTTTTATTTAAAAGTTCTTAAAAAAAAATGGCGTAAGATAAACTTTGTCGAATTGAAAGAAGAAAAAAAAACCGTTGCACGATATCAAATCGATCAATCGATCGATCGATTTTATTAATAATATTTTATAAAACGAATTTTGCGGCGCGACGCCCTTTAAAAAAACTTTATCACGTGCTCGCTGGCATTTAAAAATTTAAATAATAACAAATTTTAATAAATTTACTCGCGATTCGATTAACTTATTGTTTGTTTGTTTTGAATCCAAACAAAATCCACCGTTAAAAAAAAGAAAAAACTGAAAGAAGATTTCCGTTTCCGCTACGTATTATTTTTTTTATTCATTAATGGGATAAAAACAAAAAAAAAAAAAACAAATGTCCACGAGGACATAAGGGGAATAAGGTAAAAAAAAAACACGTTCAAATTTTTTTTAACGATAATAAAACAAACGAAACCAACAAACGCATAACAAACCCCCTCCCCCCCCAAAAAAAAAAAAAACAAAAAAAATTGTTTTTCAGGTACGGAAATAAAAAACAAACGTGTTTGTACCCACAAGTGAAATTTTTACTCTGATACAAAAGTGGTTTCTCAAGATTTACGAAAAAAAAAAAAAAAAAAACAAAGTAATAAATTTTCTCTCTCTCTCTCTCTCTCTCTTTGTGCGTACGTGTGCGTGTGCGTGCGTGCGTGCGTGTGTAAAAAACAAAGACTCGAAGCAGCATCAAACATAAATTAAAAAAAACATTGCGTTAGAGACACATTAACTCATTTGGGTCAATAGAATTTTTGATTAATAATATATATAAATATAAAATTTTTGTAATAAAAAAAAAAAAATTTCAATTTTCTTTTTTTTTTTGTTTAACGGAAGGCGCAACAAGACGATCGTAAATTTAATTTATTTTTAATTTATTCAACATCATTATTATTATTATTATTATTTTCAAAACCAACTTATTATTTTTTCTCTCTCTCTCTTTCTCCATCTTTTCCATTTATTATTTTTTTTTTGCATCACTTTTTTTTAGATCCCCATCTCGATCTATCTTTCCTTCTTATTCTTCTTCTTACCGATCCGATTTATTTTTAAAGATCGTTTCGTAAACAAATGAAAAAAAAAAAAAAACTTTTCCCGGGAGGCAAATTGCATAAATTATAAAAATAACCCGTAATAATAAATTATTTTGAAATGTCGGCAAAAATAAAAAAAATAAAAAAAAAAATTCAATAAAAAAAAGAGAACGACGAAATGATAATGCACACACAACACGACGTTTTATTATCTATCGGCTCGAATGAAAAATTCTAGAAAAATTTAAAAAAAATTGGTAAAAGGGGGCGGTGGAGGGAGGGAGGAGGGAAGGAGTGGCGGGAAACATGCCGTCGGCAAATTTTCGAATTTTCCAAAAAAAATATTAAAATTAAACAAAAAGGAGAGTGGGGGAGGGGACAAACACCGACATTATCATAATATCGTTTACTTTGTCGTCATACCCGAGAGAGAGAGAGAGAGGGGGGAAGTGGAGTGGGGAGGGCGTAGGGATTAATTCGTTAATAATATTTTTATGCCGCTTAATCGTTTAACCCGCCGCTAATTATTATTACTACTACTTAACAACCTCACGATACCCGAGTATGAATATTTATAAACCTTTTAATAACTTTTTCTTTCTTTTCCTTTCCTTTTAAAATAAGAAAAAATGTCGGTTTGAAAACCTACATAAAAAAAAAAAAATGTCCTCCTTCTTCGATGTGTTTCGTCGACATAAGATTAAGATAAAAAAAAAAAAAAAATTTTCCGAAGAAAATGAAATGAAAATACGATTTTGTTAAACCGAATCAAATCGTGGCAAGATCCTCTCATTACCCTCCCCCTCCTCTCTCTCTCTCTCTCTATAGCAAAAGGTTAAATTAATGTCAAAATGGATTTTACGATCCGACCCGACCCAACGACGATTTTCGAGCCTCCGATTTTTTTTTGGGGGGGGG